ACCGGTCATGAACATGAAGGAGTCTTTATGAATGTCTGACTGTTGTCATGAAGTGCAATTTGGTAAATAATGAGAAGTTGCTTTAAAAGTTGGATTAAAAGTCCATTAAAAGTGACAACTTTGCATTAAAATGTCATTATTTACAAAATATTGCAAATTTGTCACTTTTAATGGACTTCTAATCCAACTTTTAAAGCAACTTCTCATTAAAAGTGCCATTATTTACCGAATGAGGCTTCATGTTAGTATATTCCTAACAGGTGTTATGTAATGTTTGTGACAGTATCATGTCAGTCTTATGCACACCCCGTCAAATAAAGTCTTGCCCACATTTCTCAAGAATACATTGCAAATATACTATCACAGAATTGTACAAATTGTCAATAAGGTCAAAGTTTACAGACAACATGCTTATGAAAATTTGCACAATAAAACAATACAGAGTATTGAACAGAGTATTGTTTTAATACATTGTCACAATATTCCAGTATTACAAACTGGCATTTCTCCTTCCTAAGAACAGTGAGGATCAATAACAGAACATTCCCATTCACTGCACCACTGCACTTTACAGAAACCTACAAAAGAGAATAAAACAATAGAGCAATTAAACAGAGAAAGTATTTGTATTTTTAAAGAGTGCAGAAAAACGGCAAAGAAAAAAAGTACGACTTACAATTTTAGGATGTTGTGGACTTGCTATATATGTGGCATCATCAGAACTGATGATGATTGGGACCGGATGTCTGGAGTGAAAAAACATTTCTGGGTGACTTCTTTGCCTGTTTATGTTAGAAGTGGAAAAAATAGTCAACAATATGATAGAATCAGTTGATGTTGGCATTAGCTGTTTTAAGTGTGGACTTAAGGGAGATAAACTACCTAAAAAGCATTCCATCCATGATCTGAACACACTGATCCTTTCGGGGTGGTGAAGGGAGTTGGTGGGGCCTGATCTCCAGCAGTCATCAGATGAGAAGGGGGGTTCACCCTGAACAGGTCATGAGTCCAGCACAGGGCCCTGTGATGGACTGGTGAAGAAAATGTATGAAAGAGAAACGGTAGATTAACACGGGGAATAAATCCTGTCCAATTATTTTCAAATTAAATTATGTTTATTAAGCACTTAGTGTTGGAAACACACCAGTTTTTGCTGCTGTTAAAAATGTGGCCAGCTGCTCAGTAAAAGAGAAAAAAAGCCTTACACTATGAAGACAATGTGGAAGACAATATTTTGCGAGTAAAAATGGCGAATTTGAACAGGATCTCTTATCTCCTCCAGCTTTATGGCTGTTCTTGTTTTTATGCCGCTTTTAAAAAAAAAACTGAAAGTGTGCATTACCGCCACCATCTGGTCTGGAGTATGAACTCCTCACGCTGTTCACATCTTAATGTCATACATCTGAAAATGGATTGGGTAAAGACAGCTTCTGTGTTTTAGTTAAAAACTGAAAACAACAGATCATATTCGGAGAGATGTAAAACTGAAGATACCTGCTTAAGTGTTAAGGACAAGCATTGTTTTTGTTGTCGAACCTCACTACATTGTCAATGTTTGATATTTTAAGACATAAACGCATTAATTACTTTGTTGAACAACATTACACCAAGTTCCTCTATAAGGATTTTTTTTATTATTCTTTGCCATTTCAACAAAAATAGTAAAAGATTATTAAGGCACCTACAAAGGCACACTTTATTAGCCTAAATTATACACCAAGATGTAATTTAAAACGTACTGAAATTTTAGTATATTTAATAGTTTACTTTTAAGTAAGCACTTTAAAAGTAAATTATTGACTTAAGTTTTTTTAAACTTAAGTAAATGGTTAAGTTTAAAAAATTTAACTATTTACCCCTTAGAGGAAATGTGAAAAATATTTCACCAAGGACAGAGTATTGTTTAAGTGAAGCTTAAAAAGTTCTATTTTGAGCATATATTTTAAAATTTATGCTCAAACAATTTTGAGCATAAATTTATGCTTACAGATTTTAACAATATCTGTAAAACCATATTGTTTAATACTTGAGCAAATATATATTTTGTTCACTTAAAGTATACTTTAATACATTTCTTAAAAGTGTATTTTGGTACAATTATATTTAAGTGTGTTTAAAGTTATGTCAAAATTGGTACAACCATGCTTTTAGTATACTTTGTATATATTTATAGGTAGTACACTTAATACTTAATATACTTAAAATGTACTTTTACAAATGTAAGTATATTTGAAATGTACTAAAGTATTTTTTTTTCACTAGGGTAGCCTTATATTTATTTATAGTAACTATTTTTAGTGACTTCAGTGAGAAGTCACTAAATATAGAGACAAAATTGGCAATAGCGGGGTGACTATTGTTAACCGTGCACATCCAGACATGACTTGGTGGATGGGTCTGTCGGTCAGTCGTCTCTCAGGGCAGAGAAAAAGGGGACAGTAGTTGATTTTCAGAGGTTTGCAAAGATGAGACCACTGATTTCCCAAAATTAAGTAAATCAGGAGTGATTTATTGGTGCACCCTTACTAAAAAACCTAAAGTAGACCACTCCTTATTCTCATGAGGTCTTGTAAACTTCTGGTAAGGGAGATTGTTTCTGCTTTCAGGTATGAGGTGCGGTAATGGAGAGTTTCAAGACCCGGTTTGATTTCTCCAACCCTCTTGTCCAAGCCCAGGTAAGCTGCAGAGTCTGGATATCAAAATAATTGTATGTATGTATGTATGTATGTATGTATGTATGTATGTATAAACTGGAGTTATACTTTAAGTATACGGCTTTTTATGTAATATAAACATGCTTGATTTGTATATTTTAAGTGTACTATTTTTGTGATTGAATTACATTTAAAATATATTTAGAATGTATTTTAAGTATATGAGCATTACGTATTTTATATATTAGTAGTGTCATTACAGTATCCTCCAATGACACTTTTGGTGTAGTATAATTGCTAATCAAGTACAGTCTTTGGTTACTTAATGTCTTTTTTTATTCTTCTTTGCCACTTTTTACAGTACATGCTTCATATACACTACAGTACTGCAAACATATCAAGCTACCAGTACACAGACGGATCAAGTACAACACACTTTCTTGCTGAAAAAAATTACATTGGGTACTCAATATATTCACAATGCTAATATACTATCACAGAACTGTACAAATTGTCAATATAATAAAAGTTTATAGACAACATGCCTATGAAAACTAGCACAATAAAACAATAGGTACACCTTAGAGGAAATGTGAAAAACTTTTCACCCAAGGACAGAGTAGTGTTTTAATACAATG